AAAGAACCGAGTATGTACAAGGAAAACATGGAAAACCTTGACATGCTTAACTTAGTATGCGGCCTTCGCTGCTTAAAAAGGCAGTCTTCTGCAGGTGACCCTCATCCTCTGTACTCTGAATAATTGAGCATAATCTAGAATTCTTCTTACTGTGCTCTCTCCTGTGTTTCTGAGGTCATGTAGGAGTGAGCCGAGCGGCTCCGGTACTAGCACAGATACCCGTGGATCTCCCCTCTCTCCCTATGGGAACTGAAAGCTTACTCCTGCTCTGCCTCATGTCTCTGTTTCTGGATACACAGGTCTGTCGAGGACAAGTTTCCTTAAGAGTATTTTGTAAGGGAGCTTGTAGAAGCTGGCTGGAAGCCTACATGTGCTGTATCAGACGGTTCTGTGGTATCCATGTGCTGGTGATTCCTGCAGGGAACCACAGTAAGTTTGAGAGGCTGAATTTCCCTTTGTGGAAAACTGCACTTTCCCTGGTGTCTTGTATATATTTAGGTGTTTGTGCAGACTGTTATATCATCTTCTAATTTTTCCTGGTACGAGCCTCATGCTTCATGGTGGTATTCCCGTGAGTCATCCTGGGACCCTTTTAATCTTGGTATCATGTTTGCCACCTGCTGTTCCTCAGGTACCAAAGCACTTTTAAGCAGGAAATTACATGGCACAGTAAGTTCATATGATTAACTCTTTTTTGCGGGACCTGCTAGGAATCCCACATGGAGAAGGTGCTGGCATGGGAACCCATCAAAGTCCTTTCATGGTGAACACAAAAGAAGGGAGGGGAAAAAAACAAACAAACAAACAGGTTTTGTGCTACTACTTTGTTCTCTCCAAGCCTTTTTTAATTTCCCCCCTCCACCCGCCTTTGATCATCTCTTGGCACTGCAGACTCCCTGGCAGGCTTCCTGTCACAGTTCTGTTTGAAGAAGGATTTATTTTTTAAAATCTATTAATACTTTTGATAACGTTTGCAAATTGGGGTTTGAGTTCGGTTTGGTTTTTTTTTTTTTTTTTGCCTGCCTGATAGTATATTCTGCTATGTTGAAGCACCTGGAAGTCTATTCATACCAAAACCAGTAACTGAGACATCTCTTCCCTAATGGGGATGTTATTTATTACCGTATATTTTACCCTAGAACTGACAGGATCTCCTTGTTTGTTTGTTTGTTTTTTAATCACTTGCTCTGCCAGAGCTTGCTGAACTCTTTTACGTTCTGCACTTGGAAGTTGCTGTTTTTTGAAGGCCCTCTATTTATTCTGAGGAACCTTCCCTGCACTGCTGCATAGCCGTGCTGATTTGCCTTGCCCTTGCTCAAGCCTGTCTCAATAAAAACCCCATGTGCTTTTTCTTTGCCTCCAACTGAGTGTCCTTAAGCAGTGGTGGGCCCTGCAAACATTTCACTCTTTCAGCAATCTGTTTTCCCTTCCTTTTAATGAGCTTCCATCTTATGGAGCTCTCTTTTGAGGCTGAGAACGACAGTGGTAGGGGGTTTTTGTCTTTTGCAGGTATGTTGGATCTAATACACAAAGGTGGCTGTTGCAGACCCCATTTTGTAACGTTTGCCCACTCCGCAGAGCTGCGGGGAGGCTCTACCTCTTCTGTTTAAGGCAGGAGCCACCTTCCCTCGGTATGTGACTCTGTCCTCCCTCGCAAAGGGCTGAGCAAAGCTTCACCTTTCCGCCGAACTTCCTGGTGAGGACGGCGGTGGGTGTTGTATCTTTGTGGTCTGCCGGGCTCTAGCAACAACTGCTAACTGGGATACGCAGAAGAGTTTTGGGAGCAGGCCTGGAGCCCTGTCCCAGCGAGATGGGCTCCGGGGAGCTGCCTCGGGCCTCGTGAGCCTCAGCGGCTTTGCTGTCAAGCAAGCAGCACGACGTCAGCAGGAGCTGGGGGTGTTGTGAGCGCCTGTTCATGCCTTTGGAAGTTTAAAGTGCTCAGGAAAGAAAGAAAAATCCCTACGGAATAATCATAGTTATTACTGCTATTGATCAAAGTGTGTTTTGACTATAAATTTTTTAAAATAATTATTTTTCATAAGAAGTATATGTACACCTTCTGAAACGATCCTACATGTGCTTTTACAAATTCATTAACATACTTAATGGCTGCTTCTTTGTGCAGTTATGTTTTCATAGTTCTAATTTAAGTTTCATTGAAAAAGATACTTGCATTATCTATGGATTATTGAAACAATATGGAAGTACCTTTAGCTTTGCTTCAAGGCACATCAGCCTATTTAATTCAAAACCGCTTTAAATTATCACTAAACATTTAAGTAGATTGCGATTGATCTTGTTGCATGATATCTTCTAGTTTATGAGCAGCCCATTTCAGGGTGTATACAGTACTTAGAAAAACAACTTGGATGAAATCCATTAAATTTTTGTTCCACCTTTCATTCTTAGTTTTCTTATACCTCTGTGTAAGAAGTACACTTCTTAGCTTTCTTAGCAACTTGCTTCTGTTCATCTGATAGCTTTGGTTCTGACGAGTCAGTGTAATGGTGGCAGCGTGGGTTAAAATATCTGTTGTTCAAGTATGACAGAATCACAGAATGGTGGGGGTTGGAAGTGATCTCTGAAGATCATCTGGTCCAACCCCCCTGCCAAGGCAGGGTCACCCAGGGCAGGTTGCACAGGAACGTGTCCAGTCGGGTGTGGAAGGTCTCCAGGGGAGGAGACTCCACAGCCTCTCTGGGCAGCCTGTTCCAGTGCTCCGTCACCCTCACAGTAAAGAAGTTTTTCCTCACGTTGAGGTGGAACTTCCCGTGCTGCAGTTTGTGCCCATTGCCCCTCGTCCTGTCACTGGGCACTACTAAAGAGAGACTGGCTCCATCCTCCTGACAGCCACCCTGCAGATATTGATAGACATCAGATAAGGTCCCCTCTCAGCCTTCTCTTCTCCAGGCTAAACAGCCCCAGGTCTCCCAGCCTTTCCTCATATGAGAGATGTTCCAGTCCCTAGTAGAACCTGTTTAATTTCAAATACAGTTTTTCTAGTTTTTCTAAATGCTCCCCTCGAGCTTCTCCTTGAATTGGAAAGTAGACTGCATGTCCTTGCTATCTGAGTTTTATATCCAACAGTTGTTATTTTAGTCTAGTTTCAACGATCGGGTGCAGCTGACAGCTCGTTATTTAGAAGGCTGGATCCATTGCTGTTACTCTAGCACAGATTTGGATGTTTCAGCTTGGCCTGCAATATTGTCATGGTGAGTTTAAAACTTAGCCAGCCTTAGCAAATGAGACTGTTTTTGTTGTTGGGTGTGTTTTTAATTATAAAGTAGATTTGTCTGAGAGTGCTTCAGTTGATCTGTAAATTTAAAAATAGTCTTGGCTAAATTTTAGTCTTGGCCAGTTTTATGCATAACCTTATCTTTCAGCATGTAACTTTTATGCAGTCCTAAAGCTTTTTAAAAATTCAAACATATGTCAAATATATCTTCTTCTCTTTCTCTATATGCCTATTTTGAGCTCGTCTTCCTCATTACGCTTTTAAGAATTTAATTTTTTAAAGAGTCAAACGTGGAAACAGGCGTGTGACAAAGGACTGTGCCCGCTCGTTGGGAACTATGGAAAAAGCCATGAGCAGAGAGGCAGAGCAAGGAGGTACCAGGCCCGTGTTTGTAGGCAGATGCTCTGCACCCAAAGCTGAGAGCTGTGTGAACATGCATGGCTGCAAGCCCTGGCTCACGAGCCTGGAAAAGCACCATCAGATCTCCGTAACCTGTAGGAGATGGCTTCTGGGTGGACAAACCACAGGCAGAATAGCTTGCGTAATTGCAGATGGTATGTGTGGCTACATATCCAAAACTATGGGAGGGGGTATTAATTCTGCCCTCTTGCAAACTGCCTCGTGTCCGTTCTTGCCATGTTCTCCTGGCTCACCTGTCTTCCTGCTAGATTTGTTGACAGGCATCGCTGAAGCTCTTGCAGATTTCTTCCAGATCTCAGCAGGGGGATTTCTAAAGGCTGTGCCAAAATTTGGCCTAGTGTGGAGTTGTCTCATTCCCATTGCTATGCTAAATTTGAAGTTCCCTCTTGCAGAACACGGAATGTTAAAGCTTTCCAAAGCAAAGGCTGCCAGAATTAGTCGTATGTGGAAAAAAGGCGCCTGGTTTTTCATAGAGGTTGTTAAATGTTCTGGCCACACAAATAAAAGCACCAAGGGAAGGGAAAAGACTGGTGCACATGCATTCACAGAGTAGTTACATTTCTAGTTGATTAAGCAGCCAAGGTTACTGAAACTGTTCTTTTAGAGTTGGGAATGGCAGCGCTGGTGTTAACACATAGGAAAACGTTAGAAAATACTCAAAGCAACAGTGAAAGCTAAGTGCTACTAGTAGGTCCAGGAATGCTCATAAGTTGGTAGGTAAAGAATTGGGCATACAAATACTGAACAAGATGAAAGCCTGCGAATGCTTTTTCTGGCTTGCTGTTCCCATGTTTGGCATGCGAGATCACTCCACTTCTGAATAATGGTGTGAATTACTGCGATGTCCATCCAAACTTTTCGAATGTACCTACCCTTGAAATGTCTGTACCTTGGCTTGAATTTCTTTTGCAGTATATATTTGTATATCACAGCCACTCTTGCTCCTAATGATTCTCAAATTCACTTTGTTTTTATTTCCTTTTTTAAAGCATTTGCTGTATTTCACTCCTATGATGATGTCTGAAATGTCTGGTTCCAGGGACTATTTATAGTAGCATAATCAGGCATTTGCTTGAACGTTTGTGAGCTTCCTTTCCATGAAGCTACTATAATAGTTTGAAATGTATCTAAAAGAAAGGCGATTGCTCTAGCAATATATATGTTGCCTACCTAATTTTGCTTTCAAAAGGGACATGTGCTGTAACTATTGTTAAATATCAGTACTTTTTCTCCTGCAATTTCAGCAAATACCCTTTTCAGTGGGATGTTTTTGTGTTAAACCTAAAGACCTGCCTCCTGGCTTTCTAATTTTTCTGTTTCAAATCTGTCTGATTTTTCATTTCAGGCACGTGTGAATCCCATCAGTGTCACTCCACCCATACAAGCCATAGATCAGGACCGAAACATCCAGCCTCCTTCTGATCGACCGGGCATCCTCTATTCCATCCTAGTTGGTTTGTGTCTGCTACTCTTGCTATCACTCACAATCAGTCACTTTGTTATGACCAACCAGAAAGAGATTGACTGGGAGAGTAGAAACCTAATAAAAATTCAAATTGTGGTTAGTGGGATGTTTGAGATTGTCCTACCTATTCACGATTAATTGCAATTTAGAAGCTTATTTCAGATGGCTGCATTATTTATTCAGGTTAGATTCAGAATTGTCTGGTTTAGCCAATGTAGCGACTCGGCAAGCAAAAGGAGAGACACTTGTCTGTGCTCATAGCTGTGCTGCAATGCATTTTTCATTCACAGGTGCAAAGGTGCAGTAGAAGATGCTCAAAACAGGCAGTTAGAACACGTTTCCTTCCAAAAGTCTTCTGGCACAGAGCAATTTAAAGGGTCCTACTGTATCCCCCTTTAATGTGGCTGTTGGTCAGCTTGCATGCTTTCCGTTATAATTTAGTGTTTAGGTGACACTGCTGTTTTCTGGCCAGAGGGGAAGGCAGTTCTAGAAAGAGTTCAGAGAACAGCCACTTTGCTGGAGGGTGTCTTATATTCTGCTGTGTTGTTGTTTTTTCCCTGCTACTTTCCTGCGTTTGGGATTTGTTTCCAACTGCTTAGCTTGTATGATTTCATAATGGCAAGGCCTGAGGCAGTGGTTTGCAGTTGCAGTCCTCTCCCTGCCCTGCTCTTCCCAAAGCACAGAGACGGGTGTAGTGACTTCTGTGCCCAGTGACTAGCATGGCAATAGAAAATTCTGTGTTTTGTGGAATTGCATCTTTTCCCTATTTGCTGTGTTATACTGCAGCTACATGGTTTTCTCACCTGTGGAGAGGTGGAAGTAGAGATACTAATGAGCAAATTGTATCATTTTGCTTGTCATAAAAACAAAAAAGATGCTGCTTATGTATATGATAGTTCTGTTGTGAAAGGGGAAGGATGGTAAGTTTGGTATGTCTGTTATTTTAAGAACCATCTTAAGAGAGTACAAGTGTATCGCTACCGTACCATTGTACTGAATGTGCAAGTCCTGAGCTCTGTGTGCACAATGCCAGAGCCTGAACCTGCTTGGTGCCAACAGTCTGGTCTTGAGGCATTTCCAGGGCTCTATTCCCAGGACCATGGCAAGGGACATGGCCATGGGAGATCAGCCTCAGCGTCCTCTAAGAAAAGAAATCAAATTTGGTTTGGATAGCCATGAATCAAGCTAGATTCCTTCAGGCTGTAACTGGATTCACATCTGGCAGCCCAGTCCTCTTCCATCAAAACTGTTTTGTAATGAAATTTGTAAATACTTGTGCAGTAAATATACTAGCTGGTTTTGTGTTTGAAAATGGACTTGGTTTATTTATAAATTGACTTGGCTTAATTATAAGTTCTGCTATTGACAGTTATGCCCTAGCGCAACATTTAGTCCAACTTTTCTTTAAGTTCTTGGCATAACTTGCAAAGCTCTTCAGGAATGAACTTATTAAAAATTATGTTACACTAATCTGTGATCTTTTTGATATTTGATTGATTGTTTTGACCTCGAAGAAATAATTCAGGAGATGTATTATAGTAATTTGGATTGGTTTTGGCAGTTTTTGGGATTTTTCAATGGAAAGGCTATATCTCTATATAACTCTCTTTATTTTTTTTTTCCTCCCCATGGTCTTCAAAAGGATTTCCTTTTCAATTTTAGGTCTGTTTTTATCTTTGCTGGTATGCAGTGCTATTTATATTTTAGCCTTTACCTCAGAAAATATTAGTCTCCCAGGAAAGAGGCTGTGCAGATATTTCTCATCATATGGATTTTTCTCTTGCTTTAGATCTAAATGTAGTTGTTCTTCATATCTTTGAATATGTCTTTTTTTAAATACTGGAAGGTCTGAGCTGTGCCCATAGAATGACAGAATAAGCTACATACCGAATATGAACGAATATGGAACTGTTTCTCAGATTTCTGCTACCAATTTTGGACAACGAAGTGTTCTATTTGTTTGATATTGAAATGAAGAGCCAAAAAAACCACAACAACGTTTTCAGGGGTTTCTCTCCAGTCCTGTGAGCTCACCGACGCATTTGCCTGGCAGGCAGGAGCCCTCCTCTGGCTCCAAGAAAAGCAAATTAAGAGTGCTCTTCACCTGGGGGACATTCCCCTCTGCTGTAAGATCAAGGTAGAAGAGATCATGTTCCCTCCTAGGCTGTCAGCTTGCTGCTTCTGTTTGTTGCCTGGGCCAAAAGAGTGTAACCAGAAGTCTTTTGAGCCCTCAGCGCTCATGTTTGGTGCAGATGGTGCAACCTCATCTCCATCTGCTGAAGTACGGAAAAGAAACCGTGTGCTGCCCTTCTTTCTGAAGGGTGCTCGTAATCCTTATGAACCCACCGGTGCGTGCTGGCCCACCACCTTTTGATACCTTAGACCTCTCCAAACACCCAGACCAGATGAATTTCTGGAGGCAGGAGACTCAGAGCTCATCCATAGAGCTTCAGACATCCCTGCTTTTCCTGTGTTACATCTGTCTGCAGGTGGGACTCCTGAAAAACCAGCAGCGTAAGGGTGGTGTGAACAGTTCTCTGGCCAGTAGTGCTTGTCTGTATATGCAGACAACACATTTTGAAGATACATGGTCACAGTTGCAGTAGGAAATTTCTTCTTTCTGGAAGCAGATCAGGTAACAGTATGGACTGAGGGCTGCTGTGCTGTGTGAAAATACAGGTATTTTTGCATATGCAGAAGCAGGTATCTCTGTTCCTGGAAAACTTTACTTTCAGAATTTGAGGTATCCTGAAGTTTGGACTCTTCTTGTGGTAGACAGCAGCTGAGCAGGCATCATCAGTTAGGATGCAGGCATTCCAGCTCTGTTAGACTCCAGTCTTTATGTTCGTGATCATCCTCTGTGCTGTCTTTTCCTCCTTTACGTGTTTTCTTGTTGGGGGGGCGGAATGTGTCAGGGTTGGAGGTGTGTGGTTTGTTTTTTGTGCATTGGTTTGTTTGGGGTTTTGTTTTGTTTGTTTGTTTTTGTTTTTTAATTTCCTGGCATCCTTTCACGGTATTAACTTCATCTTCCCTGCTGTAGATCACTTTATGCCTCTTACAGCCCACTCCCATATGTATTTGTTCTCCTTCAGGGAACCTCTTGTTTTCTAGTTTCTCAGTGTTTTTGCATTTAATCCTTCATTTCTTGGTTTTTCTTAGCTTCAACATCAGCCCTTGTGATGTGCAGCCTCCTAAGACTACAGCAATCTGTTATCTGCCAAAAGCTTGGAGCTCCTGCTGGATGCCTAGTGCTCTTAAAAAGTTAGATCAGTTAATTAGGAGTTGAAATTCAAAAGGGGGAAGGAGGGGGAGGACTTGGAGCTAGAAACGCTGCATTTATGTTGGTGGTGTAACAGAAAAAATTCTTCTGGTTACTGCTATCTGGGTGTATGGCATACATATATACAGAGATACAGAATATGTGCACAATATACACACAGTATAGCAAATGGTTGTCATATGATGAGTTGCAAATTAAGGTATTGCATGTGAGTTTGGACAGTAATCTGTCTCCCGGAATAGCTACTGACTTTTTCTAAAAGCAGTTTCTAATCATTCCACTTGTAAGGTGAACAAATAGTAGCATCATTTTTCAGAAAAGTGATCTCTCTTTGTGTTGAATCTTACTCCCTGTTGTACTGTATTAAGGATTTGGCACAGCAATAGTAGTCCTGCTCTCATGGCTGCTTCAAGATACCGTAGCTCGTAAGCTCAGAGGACTTACTGGGGCATTTATACCATCCACCAGGAGTCCTGTCTGCCTCTCAGCTGCTACACAAGACTATCCCTCGGCTTAAAAGGACTTGAGATCTTAGATGCATAATCTGGATTTTGGTTTCTTCAGATATTTTTAGTAATATCAATAAGCTGTGATATACCAGAGTTCATGCTGTTTGTAAACACTGTGGCTTTCTGAGCCCTGCTGCGTTCAGATTCGGGCTCTCACACTTCCCCAGCCGAGAGTCAGGCTGGCTCAGGGGAAGTCAGACAGTCAAACCAAACAAACTGGGATGAGACACAGACTAGTGTAGGCAGACACAGGTTTCTGCCATGCAAATAAGGAGAGGACATCTCTTTGTCTTTTAGGAAAAAAAAAAAGTATAGACTCTCTTCCCTGATAGGCAACAGACTGTTGCTGAACAGTATCCTATATGGTCCTTGCTTCATCCTGCCCTGGCAATTAATGGCACTTTTTTTGTATACTTTCTTTGAGAATCTTGTGGCTCAAAATCACAATTCTTACCTCCTCCTGTGCCAGGCTATGCTGCTAGAGCCTTTTGGCTTGAGCACGGTACCATGGGCGTTTTTGGGCTGCAACTGCCTCGCTGGCCAGCCTAGGGGCCAGGCACAGCAAGGTCATGGCTGTCTCCATCCTTTGCATAGCTGCATCTCCATGGGTTCGCAAATCTGTTGAGGCTCTGACTGCTTCTGTCTTAACGGGGTTGGAGAGTATCCTGGAAAGTCACAGCCATGAAGATGCTATTTACTGCTGATAATAAATGGAAGCTGTTAGACAGAAGTGAGGTTTCATCTGGTGCTTCCTCCCTGATGAGAAACTTTTCCTAAAAAGATTTCTAAAATAACGCATCTGTTGTTATTATTTACATATATGTTGTTAATAATGCATTAAAGAGCTTGCCCATAGGTGCAACAGAGGGCTACAAGACCTAAGGTTTTTAAAATGTGCATTTTAAATTGCAAATGGCAGGCCATTTGCCATTTTCTGTGAGCAATAACATGGCTATCATGAACTTAGCGGTAACATCTTTTTGTCACATCACGTCATTGTGTATTTTCTTTGTTTAAATATGCACACTCAAAAAGCGGTTCACAGTGTTCTTTGCTTTGTGTCTTGTGTCAGGGTATGTCCAGCTAGACCTCAGGGAAAACGTGCTTCAAAGCTGGAGAGAGAAAATCGCAGTGGTACGCGTTTAGCAAGTTGGGTTTCAGGAACGTGGTGGATAGAGGTGGAAGCTGATTTGCATGAGAGCTCATTTCTCTGTATGTCCACTTACCTGATTAGATTTATACATATCTCCTGGAAGCTGAGAAGCAGAATTTCCACCAGCTGCAGGTGTGTTTGGGCTCCTGTTGTTGTAAGGTACTTAGGGATTCCTGGTCAAGAAGAATCTTCGTGGTTAGGGCAAGTAAGGAAATAATGATATTATTAAATGCATAGTGTTAGTAGTATCATTAAGCTCCATGTACACATGATGCAGTATTTTATCCTTGTAATAGCAGGATTAGTTTATGTTCCTTTTAATGATTAATGAGTAAAATAAATATATTGTTTAACTAAATCTTTCGGAAACAGCATTTGTTCAAACCTCAATGTCTTTTTTTACAGGTACTCCTGAGGATTATCCACACTATTTCCATATGAATCTCACAACAGCTGTACTCACACTCCTAAAGCCCATAAACAGGGATTTGCACCAGAAGTTTGACTTGGTTATTAAGGTAATTTTGTCTGAAGTCGTGTTTCCATACGCTTTTGAAAACTACTTAGTAACAAAAAACTCTAGAGAAAATGTGGGGTGGGCTTGCTTGTCTGTCTTGCCTTTTTTTTTTTTTGTTTAGGCTGTCAGGCATTTAACACAATCATGGGGAAGAAAAGGGTGAAGCATTTTTGAAAAGGGAATGAATTGTGGTAGTTCTAACATTTCATTTTATGTTGATATTGTGTGAACAAACTAAGTCCCACTTGTGCATTTGCTTTTTACGACCTCAGTTGTCCTGAGGATGCATCTGTTCTATGTTTCACGTTTTTTCCAGTTCACAGCCCATGCTACAGAATCATATTGATCCAAATGATCGACTGAGTACTAAATATTGGGTGCAAGGAGAACAAAAGATCATCGCCCCATCTTGTAGCAATTGGAATGGTGGTATCGTGTTTGGGTTTTTTGGTGTTCTTTTTTTTTTTTTTTTTAAAGAAATGATTGGGGAAAAAAAGGAAGCTCATTTCAGAGCTCTGCTACTGAGTAAAAAGGAAGCTTCTGAACATAACCGGTGCTGATCTCATTCAGCTCCCATTGCTGGGAAAAGCATAAACTACTTCTGTGGGATTGTTTTTTTCAAATCCTGCCATTGATGAGGAGAGTTGGTTTCCTTCCTCTTTTGTACATACTGCTTTGTCCTTAGTTTTACAGTCCGACTTGGTAACAGTCTGCAGTTCTTAACTTAGCCAAGTGATCAAAGTGCATACCAGTTCGTTGTGAAAAGTGTGGCTTTACAGAAGATCTAAAAATGTATCTTCATCTGGTTACTGTGTCCCAGTTTTGCAAGTATAAAATATTTTCAGCATTTGCTACTTTCCTTGCCAATTTGAGGATTAAGAGGAAAAGACTAGGAGGTGATGATAGCAATATTTAATTGCTAAACTTACAAAATGTAGCAAGCTGTTAATTATGCTTTGAGCAAAATTGTACAAAACCGTAAGTTTTGCTGCAGGTGAAGTTTGCGCGAACAGACTGCAGAAGTCAGTTCAGTAAAGATGGTCTCTGATGAGAACAGAGCAGAATTACATTTGGTTCTTTTGGAGACAGTCTAAAGCTGTTGTCTAATGACACAGAAAATTGTGTATGTTGTATTCGCTGTATTGGTAAGCAGATGAGCAAATGAAAGAGAAAGGAATCAACAGTGGTCTATTTTAAAGTAGTAGATCACTTCTGTATTTACCAGTGTATTTTATATAGAATAAAGAGTGGGCTTTCCAAACTGTAGAGTTTTTTAACACAGGGATGCCGTTATTTAATCTATTTATTACTTAATCTATTTCTAAATACAAAGGTTGCACTCATATAGTAAGAATTATTTATTTGCCTCTACGACACCCCCAAATTTTTTGGGTAGCACTGGCAGCAGGCTGTCCCCTTGGCAAGAGCAGCTCCTTCTGTACCGGCCTTGGAAATCATGTGCCATAGCTTTGCTAGCTCCCAGCCTTGATGCTTTTGGCCTCTCATGCAGTCAGACCAGTCAGACTAATGCTTGCTGTCATTCCTCAGGAAAAAGCTGAGTAGGGTTTTGTGGTGTGGTGGGGTTTTTTGTTTTGTTTTGTTTGTTTTGTTTTTTTGTTTTTTTTTTTGCTTCAGAGCAGAAGCAGAACTCCATCTTTCAATCATTTGGGAGAGGGAGGAGCACTGGTACACACTTCTGCTCTTGAAATAAGGGGGGTGAAGGAATGTATACAAATCTGGTGTGACAGAGCGACCTAGGTCTCCAGCTGTGCCTGTGCATGGCCATGCAAAAGCTGACTGTGGCTAGTACCTGTGTAACTTGTAGGAATTCTCTTTTGTACTAACTCTGAGCATTTATTAAGCAAGAGTCAGGGACAGATTTGCAGGCTCCCTGTGTGCATTTAGGAGAGGGCAACAGTTTCTCTGGGAAGATAGTAACAAGTTTATTAATATACAGGTCCTTTCTGCATCTTCTGAGGAATAGAGTTGCGAGTATAGTATGACAGAAGATGAAACAAAACTGCAGCTTTAATAGGAATTTTTAATAACTTGGCACTTTTTAAAATACTTGTGTTGATTTCCTACCTCAGTTGATTGTGTGTGCATCAAAGTATAAAGCTTGTATATGCTTAGAGTGAAACAATTTGTGATTGGATTCTTTGATAATCATCTATTTCCTAGCTTACTTCCTGTTGTGGGGTTTTGCTGTCCCTAGGACAGATGAAGAAATGTAGGTGGGTTAATGTCTAAATAAATATGCTAAAGAGTTAGGGTTAAAGCCCTGTAGCACTTTGGTTTTGTTGTTGTTCTTGTCAAAATTCAGCAACTATATACAGTAGCACAATACATCAATTTAAAAAAATCAATTATGCTGCTCTGTTACCACATTCTGTGTGCCTAAATAGCAAGCTCTGTTGTTAATGGAAATGTTTATCGGCATTATTAGGTTCATATTGCTGTGTTATATGTGCAGTCAAGGGGATAATAAGGAAAATTATCAGTCTGTAAGAATGATAATATGCCACCTGCTAGAATAATAAAAGTTTTAATGCTGTGTTGTTTAGGGACCTTTTGAACTGGTATAATGTCTCAGGCTTGTGCGAGATTAAATCTTCAGATTTTTCTTTTGCACATTCTCAAGTTTGCATTTTTCACTGTGTTGAAGTTGTTGAATCAGATCCTGTTTTATCTGGAGGGGTGCAGTGTGTGATGTTTCCCTTTAAACAGAAAAACCACTATTTTTATAGGACTCGCTAAGATATTCCCTCTGCTATCAAGGGATCAATTTTTTTTCTGCCAAAATATTATGGAAAACAGTGAAATGGAAAAGGTGGTTAAGTCAATACATGAATATTAGAATGCATAAAGTAAGGTAGACAGGAAATTGGTGTGGCATTAGAACTGCATTGCTGATAAATGTTGAATTCTCAAATAGGAAGACAATTGAAAAAGCTAAACTTCTTAATAAGAAATGCTGGTTTTCAGCCTCCCTGCTATCTCCAGAAGATATTTGATAATAAGCAGGGAGGCAAATTCGTTGGCCCTCCTGGGGAAGCTCCTGTTGCTTCCATTCCCTGCAAAGCAGCAGGGGCTTTTACAAAAGAACATGGGGGTTTTTGGTGTGCGTCCCATTGAAATTTCCACGTGGCAACTGCAAGGCTGTCACAATAAGCATGTGGATTTAGAGCCTTTAAACTGAAAGGGCTTTGCAGTGTTGTTAATACTGTAACTAAGAATATATCCTGTATGGGACCCAAAATGTGTAAGGCTGTGAACATTACGAATTGTGTTTCTTTCCCTTCGCTTACTGTTGCTTCTGTTATAAAAGATTGTTCCCGAGATGCAAAAACACACCCCATACTACTAATTCCTTTTTTGAAATCAATTACTGCTTTTAGAGTAAGTTTTATTTATTAATACATGTGTGTCGTTTGAACATTTATGTCCGTAAAGGTAGGGACTTGCATGTCTCTTTGGAGAGCAATTTGGAGAGCGAACAGTCTTCTGTGGAGCAGACAGTCCTGCTTTACGGAAGGTAGGTGCTAGAGAAATCAAACCAAAGCTACAGTGAGAGGGAGCATACCTTCAGCAACATCAAAGGCTAAAAATAATTACATCTTTGATCGGCTGCCTTGTTGAAACACCTGCCGAGATTCTCAATAAAATAACAAACATATTAAAACTCCATTTCCTTATCATTTGTCACTACAGTAGCTGTCTCTCTCCTGGAGGAGAATGATTTGTAACAGGAAGGCATGTAATCAGTTTAGTCCACAATAGAGTTAACTTCACACCTCTGATACCTCTTTGCTTGTAGAAGGGGATATAGGTGGTTGAAGGAAATGGTAGCGGCTTTGATCACCTTTCTGGAAAAAACATGACCATTGCACTGTAGACATGAGACTGCTCTTGTTACTAGCTCTAAAAAGCAGGGGCGGGGGGTGGAGAGAGGGCAGGATTGTTGGGTTTTTTTGAAGCGTGCATATCATGAAACAAATAGGAAAATTAATCAAATTGATGCACTTTGATCCTTTCCTATTTGAACATCAGTTATTTATCAATCAGAGAAAATCTAACCTGACAGTCCTATTAAAATTTATTTTTAATTAAAATTTAAAATAAAATTAAAAAAAAATTAAAATTTACAAAGTGGACGGACTGTTGACAGCTAGATGTGCTCACACAGCCAACGAAATACTAATAAATGAAAATGCTACACTATGGGGGAATTTACCACACCTGTAAGAGACCAGATTTTGATAAAATTACTCAGTGCCAAGTGGTAATTTAGTTCATGGGGACTCGCGTGGTTTTCAGAGTAGGCTGAGGAGCTACCACAAGGGCTGTCAGTCTGGCCCAAAGAATGCATATGTGGAGATTTGGGGGAGGAGTTGTCACTAGCAAATCATAAGGAATGTTTGCGTTATGAAATAATTAGAACTATCAGGACTTCTTAGACTATTTCAGTGTCTTGTAAAGCAAAGAGTGATACTTCTCTAAATAAACAAATAGCCATGTTATTTACTATGATGACAGAAATTTTGTCAACTCTGTTAAGACCCAAGGTGGTCCTACTAAAAATACAAATAGTAATACAGAGTAAAGGAAGTAGTTCCCCACCTGTATACTGGGGAAATTAAATTAATAATGTAGTTTTAGAGTAGGTTTTCATACAACCTGTACGGTTAATTCTTAAACCATTGTCTGTTTTATTTGACTGTATTTGTGCCATTGGAAAATTGGGAAGGATTCATGTAAATTGGACATCTCAATAAATACCCCAATTCGATTTAAAAAACCCAGGGTGTGGGTGGGGGGATAAGTTTCCCAGCTTCAAATAACGTTTATAGCCTGACTTTTTAATAAGACTCTTCTTGGATCTGAGAGTTTTGTGGCTCTTGGGGAACAGGCACTTACAGAAAGACTTACTTTGTGTCACAGTTGCTTGGGTTTTTTTGTGCCTTCCCAACAGTGTTGGTAACAGAAGCGTGCTTCAATGCC